GTGTTATTTTCTCTACCTCAATTTGCTAACACACCTCTGACATTTTCTGCTTGTCATTTAACATGTATTTATCATATTTTGATGAGAAAGCCATCATTAGTTCGGTTTACAGCATGAGGCTACCATATGACGAAAAGCCAAAAAGGGAGTCAAGTAAACTTCTGTCTGGAAAACAAAACCAACTGGTCGTGCCTTAGGAAAACAAATATTGTGGCCATACAGTGTGCATTGTATTTGTTTACAATGGCAAAAGCATTTGCACAAAGTAACATCTATGAAATGTACATCAATTATGACTCGATCAAAATTTCATTCAAGTTTTATAGGCCTCGATCTATCAGTAAAAGTGTGAGAAAAAATAATGTGCAGCGAAAATATGTGACCCAAGTTTGTTTGAGTTGCAAGGCACCGAGGCAGGCTGATTGGCTGATAAATAATCAGTAGTCCTCGGTCTGATGCCATAGAGTTAAATATTCATTAAGCATAGAAAGATGGTCATAACTGAGTTATATGTACCCACCCTGATTGGCTGACCTGTAACTTGGTAAGTCTTAGCATAAGGAACATGCATTGCATATAGAGAGCCTAAACAGTTTTTCTGGGTCAGTGTTTGGTCGTGTTGTTGTTTGTGACCTGGGAAAGTCAGGTGCTATCTAGACCTCTACCTCCTTCCTTTACTGTTTCTGTTTTTATTAACAAATGCAATAGGAGCATTCACATAATCAAGGACCAATCACTAAGTTATAAATGCTTCAGGGCTATGTCCATAAATGTGGTGCTTACAACATTTAGTGCCTTTCATCACTTCGCTTAAGCCTAACGAATCAGAGAGTTCCATTGAGACAACAAGTTGACTTCGACTGTCACCAACTGAAAATGGCAATTGTGTGTAGGTAGGATAGGCCTAGAGTTTCATTGACAGAGTGGTATGAAAGCAACAATGTGCAAACAGAATGTGTAGGTTTAGCCCATCGTGAATAGGATGAAGCACAGACTTAAATGCCACTAAAATTTCTACCATTAGCCTAATAGTAGCTTCCAAAAATTCACTCTGATTTTTTTAACTCGCTATTTTTGATGACCAAAAAATAATAACTATGAATATATAAATAAGTATTGTGCAAGGCAGAAAATTTCTCCAAAATTAATTATTGTACAGGTATGATTATTTGGCACAGGAGAGTAAGACATTTTACATTTTAGTTACTTTTATAACAATAAAGAATATACATGAAAAACAAGAAATAAAGCTACCTTTGCTCTAATTTTTTGCTGTTAGTTGCTGATAAAATTTGAGCTTTTTTTATATTAATTATAATAGTACACAATTTTATTTACTTAAATAATGCACCTAAGAATGCAGAAAAGTATGCACAAAACAAATGATGTTCTATAATTATCATAATTTAACTGGATTTCTAACTATGGCACAAGAGCCTTAAAATAATTAAGCTTCAACATGAGACACTTTCACACTAAAGATGAAATAGAAAATACTCTGTACTAAAAACAACATGGTACAAAACTTTATTTCATAAATTAAAACTTTGTCTTTCTATTGGTTATAAATTAATATTGTATAAAATGTCAGAGGGAACTACTGTCAATTTTTGAAACAGAAGATGTGGGTGTGACAAGTGAATCTGATTTTCTAGTTTGTGACTCTGTAAACAAATAAGATTGCAGACTAATAATTAGACTTTGCCTTGGTAATTATCTATTATAATGAGTAATTTAAGTTAAATTCCATACTTTTCAGAGGGGTGGTAAATAAGTTAAAGAGAGAAGACTTAAGGAACAAATATCACAATTTTCATACAAAGGAAGATTGAGGTTTTTTCCAAATATTTCCTGATAAAATTAATAAACCAAATTTTAATATAACTACATTTTGATGCCAAGTTTATTCATATACAACGATAATGAGGTAATTTAATAAAATTTTGAATGTAACTCTCTAAAAGGTCATAATGTGCACTTTGACCTACCCATAGCAAGAGGGCTAACTGTGTATTAAAACACAACTACCAGTTCAAACACGGGGTTCAACACAACCATCAGTTCAAATATACAATACAACATAACTAGTAACTACTACTTTCAAAGGTATGATATGACACAATTAACAGTTCAAAAGCAGGGTATGAATGAGTTACCTGTTTATAATCATTTCTACTTTCTTTCTTCGTTCTATGTCCTTTGGGTCTAATTCCACTTTATCTGGACACATATCTTGCTGAATGGCAGGGTCCTGTTCAACTTCTGGGCAGATATCATTAACATAATGTGTTTCAGATTCCTGTTCATTAAGAACAACTCCATTTACAGGTTCCTCTGTGTCTGACATGTTTAACTCAAAGAAGCCTAAAACAAAGCATACACAAGTTTATTGATTAACAAAAACTATGTATATACCTAACATTAAAACAGCAATGGTACAAGTACTCTCATAAACTAATTTATTATTACAGGTCTCCATAATTTTGCTCATTCATTCCCCACATTAAATTTACCAATATCAACAATCTAATAAATGAACAAGAAGCAACATTGGGTGGACAACCTATGGTTTCATTTTTTCATAATAAAATACAAAAATGCCTGCTTTTTTCTTTATTATTTGTTCCATGAAAAAATTACTTAATTTTTTATTAATTTCTCTTAATGTATACTTTAGTGCCATTCATCTGTAGATCATGATTTATGCAAAATATAAAAAAAAAGCTTTCAATTAATGACTAGATATGTTACAGACTAAAGTATTGAACTGGCTGAAATAGGATTACACAAAGTAGGAAAATGCAATATATCATATATTGTAAAATTCCATTATTCAACATCAGACATACATAACACTAAACAAAGCTGAAATATTTGAAATGATGAAAATGAAAAAAACATACCACGTGACACAACCAACAAATATAAATTACAAAAATATACTTTATTTCGACATGTACAGTGGAGTTAATGGAAGTATTTTTATATTTTATAACACTATATTAAACCTACATAGTGTAATTTGACACTAACTCTTTAGTACAATCCAATACCTATTCAAGACATGAGCTACACAGAAGGTTAGAAAGTTGATTCTCATGGAATTTGAGAAAAATGAAATAAGAGAATACAAAATTGTTTCTCTGTTAAAAAAAATAGACTGGAAAGGAGTGTGTACTGATATGACTGGAAGAATATCAAGTGTCTGTTTTAGAAAGCTACTTAGGCTAGAAGTTATAAAAAAAAAACACATAAAACTAGCAACCATTTGCTAGTGCCTTCAGAAGTTAAGGTCAAGGCCTATACTGTGTTAATTTTCATACAAAACATACTGTAATGCAATATCCACATTAAATGAAAGAATCATAATGTTGTAGATTTGGACACAAGAACTTGGGCATCTTATTCCTTAGTGTAATCCTAACTTAACCATGTTCTACACTATATATATGTAAATAATTCATGGCTAATACACAAAGACACTGATTCATCCCTTCTAACTGTTACGATAACCTTCCAAACATGTATTTCCATCAAACATCACATTAAGTACTTACAGTAAAGTTGTGACAATCAGATACCAATCAATGCCATGTTTTAGTACCCATACGATCATCAAAATCTAATTATTAATCAGTAACTAATTTTCAAGTAAAAGTCCTCAAAACAGCTACTCTATGCCCCAAGATTTGGCCCATATGCCAATGATATATTTTTAATATGGCTACATATTACAGACAAGATTCAATAGCACATGAACCACCCAAACAACATCCTGCAATAAATTTCACAATGGAAACAGAAAAAACATTATATCTGAATATTCTGGAATGTTCCAGAATAATCTAAATAAATGTGAAAGGTTCTGGATTATCATGGAGTATTCTAGCACATTCTGGAATATTGTAACATTCCACATAATTCAGAATGTTCAAGAACATTTCATATATAAATAATCAATGCTGTCAACTCTTACTTCTGAAATATTCTGTATGACATGACAATAGTTTCTGGAATTTCTGTGAGCATTTAAGCATATCATTTGAGCTGACACTGTATTAGCATATCATTGCAAATGGATACTGCAACAACAAGTAAGGCTACAGTTTTAATGCTTGGTTCAGAAGAAATTGAACTAACAAGAAACAAATTACTTTTGAATAGGCAAGCATTGTGTATGAGTGTGTGTTTACTATCATTAACATTAAAGACAGCTCATGAAAACTCAAAGGTTGTGATCAAAAAGGATGTAGTTTTTTGGAACAAGGCACAAATTCCACTTTGTCCAGAATATCATGCCATTATCAAACTAGAAAGGCCTTTTGAAAAATAGACAAAGCTAAAGAAAAATTTAAAAAAGAAAAATTGAAACACAACAAGCTAATGAAGCAGAGTTTATTAATAATCTGGATGACCTTTCTGACATCACTTGTAAGATTCCATAACCCTGATCAAAATCTCAGAAGACAAGAACTTTCTTCTTACTCAGAGGGAAATATTCTCACTCCACATTTAGCAGTAGCTACAGACAGAATAAAGTTGAGTGACAGAAAGGCAACATTTGTCCTTACTGCCACAGCTCACAGCCTTGGTCATGATGTGCAAGAGCTGACCATCAACTGTTCCTGATCCAAACATCTCAACATCACTTAATTGAAGAATTTGTTAAAAACTTGAAGGAACAGTTGTAGCCAAGTTTTACTTGTATTTCACTGGGATAGCAAGCTCCTTAATGATCTCACAGCGAAAGAACAAGAGAATCATCTGCCTGTAACCATGTCTGGAGCACGAGTAAACCAACTACTAGGTGTTACAAAAGTTCATTTCTAGTACTGGAGAGGCTCAAGCTCCTGCTGTGGCACATTTGCTGGAAGAAAGGGAGTAAGTGATCACAATAGCAAGCAACATTGGTCACAGAAATGGAGCATGTGTGCTGTTAGAGTAAAGATTATACAAGAATATTCTGAATTTGGCATACTGGCAACATATCTTAGAACTTGTCTTAGCATGTGTTTTCAAAAACTATATGCAGCTTTCTTCTGGTCTAGATAGTGGAATTTTCAATTGATTCCAGCAATGTTGGGAATACAAGGATCAGTCCTGTTAAAAACTGCAGTTGATCATGAAGTAGTACAAACCATAGAGTAAATTAAGAACAGTGTCAATGAGTTTGCTACAAGACAATTTTAAGTCAGATAACCTTGAGACAATCATCAAGAGCTTTTTAAACTAGCCATAACCTTCCTTGGTGACATCCCTCCTCACGGAGTGCAAATTATAGCACCTGGAGCACTGCATCATGCACAATGGATGGCCAAGGCATTATATGCACTTAAGATCTAAATGGATAAGGAACAGTTTAATCTCAGTGGCTGTGAGGAAAGAGAACTCCATGACATCTGCATCTCTGTTATTAAAGTCTATCTTAAAGCATGGTTCACTGCTCCTAATGCCATTTCTATTCCTCTGGATTCGTGGATTATGACTCCATGACATAGGAGCTCAAAGAGAACTACAGGGAGATACTACATACAGTTCAACACTTGAATGTGGTAAATGACAATGTTGAAAGGGGTATAACCTTCACTGAGTATAATGCAATCATAACAAAGAAAGAAGAACAGAAACAATTCCTCCAAGTTAATCAGGATCACAGAAGACACTTTCCTAACAGTAAAAACAATAACAATGCAAAAGTGACTAATCACACCAAAATCATACAATCGTACTATTGTACTTGCAATAAAATGATAATATATTTTATACACATAACAAATATATCTTTATAACATGGTACATACAACACCAGATCACTAGTCTAGAACAGTGGTTCTCAACCTAGGGTCCGTGTAGGTAATACCATTTCATTAAACAAGTAAGATTTTTAATACTGATGTTTTTTTTAATTGCACACTCAGTTATATATGTCTTTTATTTGATAGTGAAAAGTGGGAGAATGAGCTAATTATTAGTTAATAAAAACAGTTTGTTGGGTAGGTGGAATCTTTCAAAAACATGGGGGGAAAATGATAATAAAAGGGGTCCTTGGTGGAGAAAAGGCTGGAAACCACTGGTCTAGAACATCAATCTTATTCAACAATTTCTAAATATAGTCCAAAATGGATGAAGTTTGGCACTGTTTTTTTGTACATTGGAACAAAACTTAGGGATGAGAACTTCAGAATTGTTAACCTAAAATTTTACCTGCAAATAATGACTATCCAACTGTGTATAAATTTTAATTTCTCACTCTTCCAAAAACTGCCTTTACATACAGGTTTCAAGGTAAAAAAAAATTGATTATTGTAATGTTTAAGCTTAATTAAGTTTAGTCATAGAACAGATTTTTAGTGTAAGTGTATTCTAATCTCAACTATAACGCTGGACTTATTTCTATACGTCTAATGTCAGGAATGTTCTTGTCAGTCACAAGTGCTAGTTACAAGCAATGTTCAACATGTGTAAGCATATGAATAATATATGAATGTGATTACACATTTCTATTTGGTTCATAACTTAATGAAGGAGTTAAAAGTGCAACAAATCCACAAGAGACTGAAAGCATTTTTCTTTACCTAAATGTTCTGTAAAGATGTCACTAAGATTATATGTGAAATCACTTCTTTTTACAAATAAATGCTGATACTGTTGAGTGAGGTGAGAATCTGTTAAATATTAAGAATCAGGCCTAAAGTAAAATTAAAGTTAATTATTTTGACATAATTTATACATGTAATTCTTTCTTGAGATAATCATATTTGATGTATTTTTCCCAATACTTTAGAGCCTGGATTATTTTTTTCTCTCTCTTCACACTGTAGTGGTTTTGCAAAAACCACCTTTCTCTTTTATTCTAATACACGTAACCAGTTTGTTTCCTGTACTTAATATGTCACTAAAGTAGGTGCAATGGGTAATAAACTATGCTAAAGTAATTAAAGTATTTTTCATTTAAAAGCAAAGCTAAATGTGAATAATTTTGTAATTCTAAGACTGTACAAAGCTGCAATTAGTGTAGTGTCCACTTTTGAGAATCAATTCAATTAGGTATGAATCATGAAGAAGTAAAAGAAAGGCACAAGTTTCAATATGTTTTACAGCTAGTTTTCTTGAATTTGGTAAATCATTGAACAGTCTTGCAGTTTAACTGTACTAAGAATGTATTGACTGAAGATATAATGAACAAGGGAGAACAGTTTGTAGCTATTCATACATGTATGACAGATTTTGTTTCACTGGCTTATATTGGGTATTTATTTAGTAAGGTATATCTATTATTAGTAAATGTAAGAGATTCAAAAGAATCTTTGAAATATCTTTGTGCTTTACCTGGAGTTAAACCCTCCAACATGTAAATAAAACCAAATTATGTTTATTGGAGTTTTCCATAAGATTTCAAAACAAGTTGTCAATTTCTTAGAGAAGCTTTGAAATCTTTCAATCAAATTTGTGTGTCTGACAATTTCAAATAGGTATCCTTTACTTTGATACTCAGTTCCTATTTCAAGGCACAAATAACAGCTCATGATCAATTATCAACTGTCTTACAAACAAGTTGTTTCATAATCTGATCAAAATCATGTTTCTTTGTACTGGAAACAGTGTAGGTAGGCTTCACAGCTCAATCCATGAATATGTAAATTAATGCAAAAGCACTCTCATTTTATTGATAGTTACTTGACTGAAGACTCTGCACAGACAAGAAACCATGTGACACTCATGAGTTCAGTTACTATTTACATGAATCAAGCCAACTTTTACTGTTTACTACATACATTCACCTAACACCTGCCTCAAAACGTGTTTGATATAATGGCAATTACTCTGACGTCAGTAACAGTTTTAGAACACTAAAATATTTTTTTTTTACTTTTTCAAGTGCATAAAACAAATTAATTTGACATTTTTGACCAATTTATTCTTGAGACTTTTTTGACTAAATGTGACACCTTTGTGATAAAAGAAACTGCAATAAATAGGATGTTCATCAAAACTTATGCTGAGTCTTCACATTTTTTATCTAGTGTAGAAAAGACTCGTAGTAGATACCAGAGTAAAATTGTTTTGGATTAATAATTGTTTTCAATATGTTGAGATCCCTTTGAAACAGGTACTTGCATAAACAAGCTTTTAATGTCGAAATATGATAACAGTGAAAGGTTTGAAAGGTTTTAGCTTTATTGCAAATTATCCTGAATTATTGATAAATGATGAAACACAGCTGACACAAGGAGAAAATATCCAACCTAGATACTTAGTTATGTTGAAATTCAAAGCTCTGTATGCAGAAACAATGAGTGGTTCAGAGAATTCAGACTTATGAACTGTAAGACCAGAAACCTGTGAGTTTCTTAAAAGGTGAAAGTTAAACCAATCATTCTAAAGAAGCTCCAATTTTTTTTAGCTGTACTAAAAAGTACAGTTTCCCTTCTTGTGTGATTTTACAATAGTTTTCAATAAGGTACAGAGTTGGAAAAGGATTTCATTCACATTTGTGGCATGATCAAAATGATGTACAATTACAATGGAGTTACCTTTACCTGCTTTTAACAATTATCTTATCTCTTTATAGGGATTTCAGAGATTTCCAGGTTTTGTTTAATTTTGTGAAATTAGTCCATTACGGTTTGAGTTTTTCTGAAAATTTTTAGAACAATTTTGAAAAAGTGCTATTTGAAGAAATATGCAAGAAGAAACAGAGGCACTATTTAAGGTTTCAACAAAGGGGGAGCAACTTTAAGCAGGGCTGGAGTTTTCTGCAGATTTTTTAGACTTTAGATAAGTGTATTGTTTCTAAAATTAAAGTGGATGAAGAAGAGGAAGAGGCAACTGCTCCTCTACCTCACCACAAATGGCACATCTATGAAAGAAACTACAAGATTTATTTTGGGGAACTTTGGTATTTCAATGAAACTAGATGAAGGGGTAACATCATCAGTTTGGTTTGAATCATAAGAGATGTAGATAAACCTTGATCTTTCAAACCAAATTTTATCTCTAAACGATAACTATTTCTGAGTAACAGCAAAATTCAGCTCTATACCTAACAGTTTATTTTCATTTCTGGAAAGCTGACATTTAGAAACATTAAAAACAATTGTTTTGTTATACCAGAGTTCTATTGCCATTGATCTACTGAAGACCAGAATTCTTGGAACTGTCATTTTACTATCTGGAGTTTTTTTTCAATTTCTTCTGGTGACAGTATGATTTAATAATTTTCATATCATATTCAATGATACAAATAATACTGAAGCCTAAGGGGCACAACATTAACTTCAGGGTAGAATTCAGTTGTGATGAAACTTGCAATAGTCTTGAGAGGTAACTATATTTTACATGGATGTGCTTATGTAATAATTTGAACTGCATGACATTGGTAATTTTTCAAGAATAGTCATTTGGACGACTTAAATCTACAGTTTAGAAAACTGTTCAACAGAATATAATGCATATTATATTTGTTCTTCAAGTCATTTGTGTACTAAAGAAATGTTCTACAGTAGGACTCTTATTCTCTCCAGATTTAAAAAAAAACAGTCTTCATTAGTTTGAAATAAGACCTTTTCCAGGCCAAAAAACATCAGCAATAATAATCAAATAATAACTGTTGCTACCACATAATGTATGCTTTTCATTATACTCTCTTTTTACAAATCATAGACATAACTACCAGCTTTTACATGTACAATCATGAAATTCAATAATTCATAATCTTTGAAATTACACAAGTCTGGAACACACGTTTATGAAGTTATTTTTTATTTAGTTGTTCTAACTTAAAATCTAGGTTTTTAATCACACCAATTCACTAATAAGAAGAGACAGGAGTATTTTTGAGAGTTATTAAGCCTTCATTTTTCTCATATAATATGCACTTGTTGCCATTTGCAAAGGACTCAATTGCTGCTTTGCTAATCTCTGACACATGAGCTTTTTTTCATGCATGATGCAATGATCTTTTGCTTTGTTTCCTTTCACTCCTTGATTTGATTGTTCATAGTCAAGTTTTGCCTCCTAATCTTTTTGGTACATGCAGCAACCCCTGATGAGGAAAATACGAATTGGCATTAGACCATATTTTGTAATACACAAGCTTCCACTTGCTAAAATGAAGAACGTAGTTGGTTTACTTTGCACCAACACTACGCAATTATCCAATCAACACATACTTGCTTCACTCAACTTGGTTTGAAATACCAGCAAAAACAATTATGGTGGCATCCCATTTATAAAAACAAGAAATGATATGATCAATAATTTTTACAAAAACCATGTCTCAAATATTATATAAAAATAGGATTTTCAAAATTGTACCAGAACTTAACTAAAGACAATACTATGCAAGCCACAGAAAATGTGCAAATGGATAACAGTGAAATAAAATGAGGAGTTAAAAAAACAAGAAGTGAAAAGGGGAAGTACCAAAGGACAAATGAAGTAAAAAGTACATAAAATATTAAACTACATGGGAGCAGAAGTACTAAGAATATTAAAGTATAACATGAACAAAGTACAAATGGATTATAATAGTGAAACAGAAGGCATATGAAATATACAAAAGGACATCAACTCTAGAATAAAACATCCAGAAACTGAATTGGCAGATGCAAGGATCAAACCAGGAATTCTTCTCTCTGCATCCACTAAAAGCTGTTTACAACCAAAACAGCTTTTTAAAGCTCTGTAGGTGGCTTGCTTTGAACAGAAGTTAATATTAAATGAAATCCATAGTAGGGATGTAAAGTTTAAATTAAGTTGGATTTTAAATAACATAACCATGGAATAAAAATTCCCAAGCAAGGTGAAGTGAAATAAGCTTATGGTTAAATTGAATCCTAACTATGAAATAACCAGTAAGAAAAAACTCAAACCTAGACAATGAATTACCAGATTAAAATAAGTATGCTAATATCAGAAATGAAAAGAGCCAAGTGTTTCAAATGTTGTAGCATCTGCAAAATATTCTTCTGTAAAATTACAGTTGTATGTTTTAATGTATTTATCAGCATTATTATATCATTTTCATTCAATCAAGAGAGGTAACATGAAGCCTCCCAATGCCAAGTGTAGTGTTAAGACATCGTGGAAATTTTGCTTTAATGATCAGACTATGCATGTACAACAGAAGTGCCAAGTTGTACAGAGTACCAAGTCCAATATTTGTGCAATTCCTTAATGTGTGTAGAATATCTCTATCCTAATAACATTGGAGATGGTGTGTATGCTTGTCACTAAGTGTAAAGCTACACAATGGGTTATCTGAGCTATGCTTACCACAGGTATTGAACCACTGAGCCACTGGGAGATGCTATGTCATTGGAAAAAACCTCCCAAATATAATTATTTTAAATAAAATTTCTTAATAAATATTCCTAAAAACAACATTTAAGACCTTGTTTTATAAAGTAAACAAAAAAAAGACAAGATTTTTTGTTATATTTCTGAAAAACCAGGCTTTTATCTTCTCGTCAATGCAAGTGTGGAAAAATCACCAAAGACAACATTCTCAAGCAAAGCCAAAATTTTCCATATTCTGTCTTCATACCCAGTCCTATAAATTTGATAATCAATTCAAATTTAGAAAACACTAACTTCATGCAAATCATATCACTAATTATAAAAGGCTTATTCCCTTTGACACCCTGTTGAGAATGCTTTCATGCTCCTTTTTTGGTAATGCTCAACTATACACATCATTGTTCTTAGGCCAACTATGGTGCTTATGCTGAATGCTCAATATTCATGTTGATTTGTTAGGAAGGTTTGTTTTTTATTCTTTAATTTTTTGACAACTCTGGTAATATAACAGCAAAATAGTTTAATTCAGAAGTTTTATGACACTGAGTTGTAGCCAAAAGCAAAATAAAATTTAACAAGTAGTGTTTCAGCTAAGCCTTATGTGACATTTATGTATTAAATTAGACTACAATTTACAAATAGGCCTACTGTTACTAACATTATAGTCAGTATTTAAATTATTTTAAATGGTGAATAAATGTTAATTAATAAATGTTATTTTGGTATTTTAGCACATATATTATCTACTTGGCCTTAAAACAAAGAAAAATAAAAATTTACTACTACCAAATATCTTTTATCCTTTGTACAGTCAAAAGATTTGAAAATCTGTGTTGGAATGTCTGCACTATGTTTTCTACTTCCTGACCTAGAATACAATGAAAATACTCAAGAGTGTTATTTAAGTCTCTTTCAGAGTGCACATGTGTTTTTGCTCATGATAACATTTCATTTTTCTGCCCAATTTTTATTAAAAATGTGGCAATTAAAGAATTTCTTCAAGACTGATGATGTAAGTGAAGAGTAGGTATATTTTGGAGGTACAAACAAATTCGTTTTAGTTAAATTCTATAATTTTCGTTAATCCTTTAAAAATGGTTTCCTATCATTTTTGAGGGGCTTTTATACTACTACTAGTACACTAATAAAATGGTATAACACATTAAATGTATAAAGCTAAAAATGATAAAATAAGATGAGTATTAATAGTAATAGCACTACAGTAGAAGTTCAAAGCCATTTGTGTTGCTAGATGTTGAACATGACTTTGAAGAAAAACTTGCTATTTATGTAGCTCTTTTTTTGAGTGGGCAAATAAATAAACTGATACATTTAACTTTATTTCTAAGTAGGTAGCTAACTCTGATTGGTAATTTCTATTAATGAATATTTACAATTACAAATACTGTTACCGTTATTTTACAATTTCATTAGGAAGTACTAAATACAAATACATTACAATATAAAAATAAAATTACAAGTACAATAAGTTGAATAACTGTATTGGAATAATTAAGTCTCTTAATGTTACAAATGTCAGTAAACTAAATAAAACCGAGTAATTCGAAATTCTATACACAGCCAGACTCATTATGTACGCCGGCAAGCCTATCGGGCTATTATTATATTAATTAATTAACTTGGGTTTAAGAAATTAAACTCTACAGTGTTAGGCCTAACCGTACTAATGAAATGGTACTAGGCTTAATTCTTAGTAACAATACTACTAACTTTAGTATAACTAGTACAAGTACTGAAGTAGTAGTACTCTTGTAGTTGTACTACATATTCTTCTTTGTGAAATGAAGCTTTTTTGCACATATATATTTATAGATTCTTATGTTAACTTAAACGAAACTTTTCACTTACATTGACCAATGGAATTTGTACGTACTTTGGTTAACGTACCTCAACCACACGACTCAGGAGAAAAAGTTAAACTCGAAGCGTCTTCTAACTGTATGAAACCATGTCAAATACATTAGTTGGGGTGCGGCTCTTCGGATGAGTGCGGTTGGTAGAAGAGGCTTTTCCGTTTTTTGATATTCTTCCCTTAGCGTGTCAGGGAATACAATAAATCGAATGTTGATATCACAAGCAAAAGAAATAAACAAGAAATCATTGAATTTTATGTAACTGATGAAATGAAAATACACGAAACTATAATAAATAAAACATAATTGAAAATATTCAATAAAATACATAGTAGGTAAAAATGATTTATCATAGCTTTATTGCCCTCTATATTGACATAACTTTCAAAGTAAAGCGAGAACCAAAATAAATAATCTTCCATGCGTAAGACTTTTGCTGTAGACAAAATCATATTTAATTTAAATCTCAAAATGTCGACTTCCTTACATACAGTACACTGTCCATGGCATCTATGTATTGCATCATATCAATTTTATATTTTTGCCTGTTACAGCACCCACAAGAAAAGAACTCACCAAACGCAAAGGGGTGAAATTAATCACTTTTTACGTAAAATACTTTGGGTTTGTTTGTTTGTTTTTGAATTTCGCGCAAAGCTACACGAGGGATATCTGCACTAGCAGTCCCTAATTTAGCAGTGTAAGACTAGAGGGAAGGCAGCTAATCATCACCACCCACCGCCAACTCTTGGGCTACTCTTTTACCAACGAATAGTGGGATTGACCATCACATTATAATGCCCCCACAGCTAAAAGGGCGAGCATGTTTGGTGTGACGGGGATTCGAACCCGCGACCCCTAGATTGTGAATCGAGCGCTCTAACCACCTGGCCATGCCGAGCCAAAATACTTAGGAGTCCCCTGGTAGTACATCTGTAGACTTGCAATGTTAAAATCCAGGAATCCATTGCTTGCGTTGACCATAGCAAATAGCCCGATGTGGCTTTCCTCAAATATAAACAAGTAAAACACTTGGGACTTCCGTAGTAATCATCATCGTAATTAGATGGTAATATTTTACCAACGTCAAACTTAGGTTTCAAGATATAACTTCCAATTACATGTGAACATGGTTGTGAGTGAGTGAAGGAAGCCAAGAAATTGACTTGAGCCTGGTGTGACATAGGTGCCTGGGTAGGACGGTCTGTCCGAGATGAAGTCACTGCAGCCGTTACTAAAGGCTTCTTCCTCTGTTGTGACTGGTTTTAAGTTACTACTTTGTACAGCATCATTAAATAAACTGCTTCAATAAGGACAAACTTGTGTGCAACGATGTCCTCAAAATTGAATTTCAAGGGATGACCTGCTTTGCCTTACTCAAGAGGAACAGTGACCATGGCCAAGACATCTCAACTTCGACTTCCTGGCTATCATCTGACCTATGTGTCTTTGATGTTATGGAGATAGTATTGTAAGCACTAATGGGAGTTCCGACTCTCATCTGAGTGGTCGATCCCTGATTTAGGTTGGCAGAGCAACGAATTGCCATTGCCAGCTCGGCCATCACCATTGTGTGATCCCAGGCTCTTCCGTGATCCATTGCTGCATTTGGCAGTATACCACTAGTCTTAGGGAGGCTCACCACTGTCTTTTAGTTCACCTACTTTTCAATTTGGTGCCTGCCATCTCACCTGTTGGTGAAGTTATTCCTGTCAATGTACCCCCTTTACCAATACACTTACAGCCTTTCCTTGTTGTTCTCGGGGTTTTAGACCAGAGCTGAAATTGGTTACTTGCTGATGGCTGGGATTTTTGTACAGACCACCGCATCAAGAATCGCCAGGTGTTACACTCTTGCAACTATCCTTATTCCTCTATACTTCCCTCCACGGGGCCAATCCTCTGAGTAAAAGTATGGACAGCCTATCTGAGCGCACCAGATTTCAATGACTCTTCTTTCTTAGTCATAGGCAAAAGTCCACCATTCAGGAGAGAACTTCTCCTGGACTTAACAACCCTCTTGGACAGCCATCTTTTTTGTTCAATGACTGACTCTTTATCTTGGTTGCAAGTCCTTCTAATTGTGCAAAATACAATTTCTTTTACTAGGAAGCCTTTTAAAACTTACATGAAACAAGAGTAGGGGTAAAGAGCAGTGGACACGTCAACAGAAAACTCTGCAGTAAGATATATTGTGGTCACAGCTCCAAACGTTTCACCTTCTTATCCACCCTGAAGAATACTCAGGTTGAACTGAATTAACCTCACAGCATTGGGATAGCTCCACATAATAGGAAGTTCGTCAAGATACTTATTATGAAGTGGTACTGAATCTCTGAATAAATGAGTTCTGAAACTGGACATACAGTGATACATAAAATGAACACCCTTTATCATAAACAAAATGCGTGTACTTGATAATAATTAAACATGGGATGGTCGCTTTTATTTAGTACTATATTTTCAACTGATTAGGCAAAGTTTATCTACCAGACTGTTTAAACAGAATTTTCCTTATTCCAAAGCTAAAATATGATTTCCCTAGAGTGATTAGCATTTATCACATGTTTAGTCATTATTATTCTAGCATATGGGGGGCCGTAATCTCGAGATACACTTGAACTACCTTTGAAAGACACTAGTTGTTAATCTTTTTGTACAGTGGGAAAAATTACAGCCAAACCACTCATGAACATAATAGATGTGACAAAGTAGAATGATAAGGAACAAGAGCAGCTAAAACGACATCAATTTAATGACTTTCTTGACTACGTGTTATGTAACAACTGAGTATATACAAAATAAATGATACGTTCTGAATAATAATATATTGTTGCGTCAGTGAGGTCACATGACTAGTGCCACGCTACGTTTCTAGAACTATCCTGTACCATGGTGAATGCCCTAGCATTTACTAGATATAGGGTAGTCTGGTATATATAAGAGGGTGACAATGTAACGGGACATTAATGTTTGTGTAGACAGTGAGTAATTGATCTGCAGTCAGAGAGTATTATTGAGCATGTTCGTTGTTATAGCGTTTGTTTTAGCGCGATTATTGAAATTAAGTGTATCGTAAAGTTATCGTTCCGACGAAACTTTAGCGACACAAGTCCTTACTTAATAAAACTGGTTTATTCTTTCCGAATAATTTACGGGAAATCAATTAAGAAACGGAGACGTAACACTATCATAAAGTAATAATGTATTCGCCAGAAGAAATTTGCTTAATATATGAATGATTTGTTTGTATCGAAACTCTGTTTCTAGCGTTGTAAGTCAGCAAACATGCCGTTGTGCCACTGGGGGCCATATGTGAAAAAAATAACAAATGTGTTGGGGCATGCTTCCTCCCCTTTTAAAATGAAACCTTAAAGTTTGTAACAAATGCAAAAGCACTACAAGATATGTGAAATAAAAGCTGTATTTGCTAAATGAATTGATAAAAATGATCATAATCGCATGTATTAATGCGAAGAAAAATATATCTCATACTGTTGTTTAATGTCAACCTATAACCAGAGGCGCAAATAATAAGGGTTTAAGAGGTCGTGGTTTTTATAGCGAAGCCACACAATGGGCTATCCGCACTCTGTCCACCTCGGGGAATCGAACCCAGGATTGTAGCGTTTAAAGTCCATTAACTTATCGATGATTCACCAGGGGACGTTGAACAGTGCAACAAACCCAGGACCAGAAAACAGGTGCCCCCCCCAAAAAAAAATTGAAAACCGATTTAGCTTTTATAGTAGTATATAAATGAGTATGTGTATGCTAGACCAGCGGGCCTCGATCTGTAGTTCGTGGAAAAATTGTACAATTACGAAAAGTAATAATAATGTGGTTCGCGAATAAAAAGAAAAAAAAAAGGTTGAATACCACTGTCCTAGAGATATGATGTAGCAGTTACGTTGTTTTTGTTGTTGTTGTTCTTTTACCTTTTCCCGATCGGAAGGGGGTCGCCGATATCTCCCGATTTATTCCTTCTCACAGTGGAGATAATGTGCATGAACAAACTTACTAAACAATATTTAATTTGGACTTTAAAAATTGGTATAATTTGGTTTAGAGTTTATATAATTTTTTATTTAAGTTGTACATTTCTTGAGAACTTTGTTGGGAGAAATAATTAAAATACTTCCTTTTTTAAACCCAGAAAATTTTTGATCAGAAAAAATATACATTTCCATTACATATATATCCAACGAGTTTAATTAACATACATATTTTGTTACTTTATTTTGCTGAGTAGTAACCATTCCCGGCTGCAATTTTTAAAAAACGGCAAAAATTGACTACGCCTTTCGAAATGGCGTTACCATTACCTTTGGCAGGTTGGATAACAATCTTTATGTTAGCAATCCTCTAGATGGAAATCAATATATATATCTCATAGTTTATTTTCGAAACATAATTCTTTTGTATACACATGTTGTTTGAATAGAATAAAATTAATAATATTCAATAAATATAGATTTAAGTCATAGAATATTTCGCCATAACCTGGCTTTCCGTACTCGCCCAATCTAACTAAACTTACTTGATATATATAATATATTAAAAAAAAATTGTAGCTTTCATACATAATTTAACATAAAAATATTTTAGGAGGGAATAAAAGAACGCTTAAAAATATAAGAAATTCCGATATCTGCAGTTTGTTCCCTAGTTTCTAAACTTCCCATTAGGTTGCTTTGGTTAATGCTGTATGACATTCGCTACACATTTTCCCACGAAACAATAAATTACTACATAAACCACTTTATTTACTCCCAATTGACGTGAATTGTCTATTTCCTGATCTAGCCAACCATATTTAAACTTCCCTATCCACGTTTTCAAGCTGTATTGCATTAGTAGTTAACTAGTAGAGACCCGCAAAACTTTATCGTAACAGTACTTTAAATATAACATTTCTATCGCAATACAAACGAATTGCAATCGAAGACAACGAAATGTGTAAATCCACTTG